TGGCCATATTCGACGGAAAGATGTTTTTTTTTCAATCATGGGAAACGTCGTTACTCGATCTAACATCTCTTTCCCATGATTGAAAAAAAAAACATCTTTCCGTCGAATATGGCCAACCCTGATTATATATATTTATATATACGTAGTCATTTTAACTGCGCCAATTTGTTTTGTTGGACTTAGAAACGCAACTGAACTACTGTAGTAGTATTACAAATTAAATTGACAAGCAATTTAATAATTTGATGCTCAGGCATCCTATTAAAGAGATGTTAATGTTCTGAAAATCTGTAAATAAGGAGTGATCGCAAAAATCGCCCGTTTTTGGGCCCTCAATTTTGGAACTGAACTGTGCCAAATTTTTTATATTGAGACATTAATTACAAAGAAGTTTGAAGATAAGGTGACAATTATTATCAGAGCTGGCAGGCGTGGAATCAAAATCCATTATCGAATTATCATAAGTTCTATCTGCAAAGGAATTTTAAGAAGGTTGATCCAGCCGGGTGTAAATCAATTGCCCATATCGTTAATTGGCTAATTTATAATAATATAATATTATTGATAAAGCAGTTAAAAATTACTAGGAACTGATCGATGTGAGCAGTATGTGCAATTGAACTGTGTGCAAATGCGCCGCTTCCGATCCAACTGATAAAGACAAGATTGCAATTGATTCAACCGATGAAGGCAAGATGAACTGAACATCACTTATTCTGGTGATTTTTTAAATCAATTCATTTTGAATGTAAAAGAAAATAGATTTTCGCAGACGTAATACGTGATCTCCCCTCCCCTCTTCCTCCAGCTATGATAATAATTGTTATCTCAACCCCTCTAAAACTTCTTTGTAATTAATATCTCATTGTAGGGTATCATTTGGCATACAATTCAGTCCAAAAATTGAGGAAATCAGCCTAAAAAACGGGTGAAAAAAACACCTTTTTACGGTCATTCTTTATTACGAAAAATATTACCTCGAAAAATATAACATCTCTTTAATAGGAATCGAAGATTAAATTGCTTGTCAATTTAATTTGTGATA